ATTACTGAGCCTCTAACGAGAGGCCGGCGCCGGTTTTGGTTCTGCTGGGTATTATATTATGGTATCTCGTATTTACTACGTACGAGACGTTTGACACTGTGAGCACAAATTCTCCTACTAAGCGTTCTATTATACCAAACTTTCCTTTTATGAAAGATACCCATAGACATTGAACAGTAACCAAACATGGAAAGTCAACAATAAATCGTCCTGGAATGTTAAAAATACAATTTAGTTTAATAAGATTTACTGAATTAGCAAAGCCCTAAAGTACAGGAATTAAAATCTATTTGCAAAAGCAAGGAGCCGTAGTAGCTTAAGGCTAAGCGCTCGCTGTAAATTTCACAGTACGCGAGCAATACCAATCTATCCAGGGTTCTATCCCCGGAGGTACCAATGAATTTGTTAAATGCAATTTTAAATGCTTATTTACCACGTGTTTGGTGCTGAAGAAAAAATCGTGAGGAAACCAGCATGCTTGAGGAATTAACTTACTTACTTTTCTTTTTTTACTTTTACAATTAAGTAACATTTTATTTTCAATCAAGTCTAATTAATCGGTTTTGATAACAGCAAAACGATGGCGTTACAATTTCCTGTAGAAATTCATCGTTCGCATAATAAATTAAGGAAATGTATTCGCATAATAAGCCTTAATTATTAAGTAATAACGAATCGGACGGTGTTGAAACTACTGCCCCGAGTAGTTGAAATTGTCGGTTTTAGTTAACGACAATATTTTTTTATTAATTACAATTACACTTTACCATGTGATTAGCAGGAAAGATAAACATCGTGAGATGTGCTTAATGGGGTAGCAGAGGTTGACCATGTAGTGGCGGTGTAACAATCATTCCGTGGGTGTCGTAAACCAGACGATGTGCAGCAGCGTCTTCTAAATAACAACTAAAAAATAAAAAAAAAACTGCGGTGTAAAGGTTGGGATAAGGGGTTGCACGGAGGACGCTTTCCTGCTCGAAGCCTACTAAGAATCTCACAGAATACCAGCGTAAAATAGCAGCTTAACGCTGCTGTGTTTAGTATGGTGAGTGTAGAGAACCGGCGACCCTTTTTACTGGAAATGAGGCATTCCATCTTAGTCCTCACGGGTGACAACGCATCTGCATTTTGATTTGTAATAGAGGATAGATGTAGATGTCTATGGGCCGCAGCAACCATTTACCATCAGGTAGACTGTGTGCTCGTTTGTCACCCTTATCCTATAAAAAAAAGAAATGAGAGAAAGTCTAGGTATATACATTATGCACGCACTCGTATATATGTTTTTTCATTAACAGGTTCTGTAGTATAAAAAGCTTGATAGATTTTAACAAATTTAAAGGGTGTGTTAGTAGTGGTAATGACAAAGAGAAATATTTGTTTTTTTTTAATTTTCCGTCGTCTTTTCCTGTAGCATTTTTTAAATTTCTGTTTAAACTATTGGTTAACAATTCATTAAAAAATCTTCTTCTTCTGCAGCCCGCAATAGTCCACTGCTGAACATGGGAGGTTCATGAGGCCCGTTTTATGGAACATTTGCCTTTTTGGTCACATTTGGCAGGCGGATTAACGAACGCAGTACCAGACGTCACGCAACTTTGACGCTTTTACCCGACGTGGTCTAGTTATTTTAAGTTTGGAGTAAACGGGCATGGTTATACCGTCACCTGTAGGAAGCCATAAGAGTTTTTTCCATGGCCAACTCTTACAACATCCTCAAGATGATAGTGATACATTTCTATTTTACCTCCGCCAAACGGTAGATTAATAAAGAATGTTATCTATTTAAAATATTAATAATCAGAATGTTAGCGTCTGGGTCTGATAACGCTGTTGTTATTCGGCCTCCGAAGCCTGAATAGATCTGTTTAGTACAAGGTGTTATTATCCTTTTACCTGTTTCTGGTCACCAAGTAGCAGTGTCTGCACTGTTGTGTTTTGAACATAATTACAGGCTGTGGAGCATTCTATCTTAGTCCTCAGAGATGATAACATATCTGTAGTCTTTTTTGTTTGAAGTTGGTAGCAGATATCCATGCCTGCAGTAGCCACGTACGATCCCGTGGACTGTAAGTTCGTTTGTCACTACAGTTATTTAAAAAAATCATGTGTTATACGTGATAGAGCCATGCTGCAGCTATATTATGGTTGTAGGACGAATGGCTCGGCTCGACCGGGGAAGGACCACGTTCTCACAGAATACCAGCGTAAAATAGCAGCTTAACGTGTTTCGTATGGTAAGTGTAGAGAACCGGAGACCCTTTTTAATGGAAACGAGGCATTCTATCTTTGTCCTCACGGCTGACAACGCATTTGCATTTTAATTCGCAAACGACGATAGATGTAGATGTCTATGGGCCACAGTAACCACTTACCATCAGGTGGACTGTGTGCTTGTTTGTCACCCTCTTTTCTTGAAGGTCCCTAACTCGTATCGGTCCGGGCATATTGCAAAAGTAACTTCTTGTATTGGTTTTCTATTGATACCTTAGCTCTCCTCATTGACATATACAAATAATATATGTAACATAAAATCCAAAAGGAATACACAAGAAATATTCAATGTTTGACTACGTGAAACTTACGTCTTGTCTCATCCAAGCACTATAAAGTGTATCTATTGCTAGATTTATTCCTTTATTGAAAGTGAACGTACGTACGAGTAGACTGCGTGACCTACCTGTCCTAGATAAACTTGTTTATATTTATGGAGTCCACTCTACTCGTTACTTCACGTAACGTCTACTAAACTGCATTCCTGTTAAACGTTTATTATCATTATAATCGCATTTCGGAATTGGACTCTGATTCAAATAGATGGCAGTATGACTTGGTAAACTATGGCCTTTTTTTATAGGAGAGGGGGCAAACGAGCATGCGGCTCACCTGATGGTAAGTGACTACCGCCGTCCATGAACAACTGTAACACCAAGGAGGGAATTGCAGATGCGTTGCCGGCCTTTTAAAAAGGAGTACGCTTTTTTCTTGAAGTTCCCTAAGTCGTATCGGTTCGGAAAAATCGCTGATGGTAATCGATTCCACAAGGAAGTCGTGCGAAGAAGAAAACATCTTCTAAGTCGCACAGTGGTGGACCGCCCATCATCCAGATGGTGTGGATGGTATCGGGAGTTCTGCCGCGATGTGCGTTCGTGAAATTTGGCGGCTGGGATTAATCCGAACAATTCCTCAGAGCACTCCCCATGGTAGATGCGAAAGAAAATGCAAAGGGATGCAACATCTCTTCGCAGTGCCAATGAATCGAGCCGATCGGAAAGGGCTCCGTCGTCGACGATTCGAGCCGCTCTGCGCTGGATGCGGTCAAGTGGAAGGAGCTGGCACTGGGGAGACCCTGCCCAGAGATGGGAACAGTATTCCATGTGAGGCCGAACCTGCGCCTTGTAATGTTGCAGGTGGTGTGCCAGCATGAAATACTGTCCCGCTCTGCTGAGCACGCCAAGCTTTTTAGAGGCCAATTTGGCCTTGTCTTCCAAGTGACCACAAAACTGCACGTCACTCGATATGTAGACTCCGAGGATTCCGATACTGGCTGAGGCAAGAAGGGGAGTGCCTTGAAACTGAGGAGATACGACAAAGGGGTTCTTTTTAGCGGTTAACGCGCAAACTTGTGTCTTCTGAGTATTAAACTGGACTAGATTTAGTCGCCCACAATCCGAGAATTTGTTCAGCAAAGACTCGACTTCAGACACAAGTTTGTTCCGGTACTCGCGACGTTTTCCCGAGAAATATTGGCACGGCCGGTGTATAGAGCATCACCAGTGCTGTCATCCGCATAGCAATGAATGTTACCAGTTAGCAACATATCATTGATATGCAGAAGAAACAGCGTTGGTGATAGCACACAGACTTGTGGAACACCAGCGTTAATATACTTGTAGTCAGAACATGCACCGTCTACAACGATCTTGATGCTCCGATCTGCAAGGAAGCTGGTGATCCAATTGCACAATTTCTCGGGAAGCCCATAGGAAGGGAGCTTCGAAAGAAGCGCTTTGTGCGTCTGGACATTGCGAAGGCCTTCGCAATGTCCAGACTAACGGTCAACGCCTCCCCCTTGAACTCTACTGCCTCCGCCCATTTATGGGTCAGGTAGACCAGAAGATCACCAGCTGATCGACCCCGACGAAAACCGTATTGGCGGTCACTAATCAGCTGGTGATCCTCAAGGTACCGGATGAGCTGGCAGTTAATAATGGATTCTATTATTTTGGAGAACAAGGAGGTGATTGCGATAGGCCTATAGTTGGATGGGTCTGAGCGGTCGCCTTTTTTAGGGATGGTCGGCGGTGTTTTCCCCCCGTCATCAAGAGTCAAGTTGGATGCAAAGAGGGAGCCTAAAAGGTCGGCTTTGTCTTTTGCATCTTGGGCCAGTGAGTCGTTCTCCCTGTGCAGAGATGGTAGTGATGGCTATTTAATTATCTTTAAAACCTTGTGAACATGGAGTCGTTCATTTAAATCTTGAATTACAAACCAATTCTGATTCATCCATTACCGCCTATAAAGTCCACTGGTGTGCGTAAGTCTCATAGGTGCGGTTTTACTATAGTTGTCATGCTTGGCAGGCGGGATGATAACCGCAGTAGATTATTATTTTGAGTTGTTATTTTCTGCTGTCTTCTCCTGTTACAGTTACCTTCTGTCGACTCTCACCATACCTGCGAGACAATGTAGACTAGTGGATATTCATACACCGTCACTACATGGTGGGCAGACAATTTATGATGTTATAATTAAAGATAAAATGGATGTCAGAATTATTAATAATTTTAATATAACAACTATATACAATTATACAATAGAAAAACAAACCAAATTAAAGACGAATCTAAGCGCTCAAGAAAAATATAAATAAAATGTACCGTATGAATAACAAAATTTCATAAAAACTGAGAGTTGTCCTTTGAACAAAACTATATAGATAGATATATTTTAAGACAGTGTGAAGAGTACGTGTAAAAATATTGTTCTGAATATAATTTCAGAGGCGCTGGACGTGATAAAGGAGGAGCACACAATGCCAGCACAGAGGCGGCGTAACAAGCGCGAAGTGCCGTTTACCCACGATGAGAAGAGAATAGCTGGGGTACGTATTTTTTTCGTTATATGATCATTTATAGCTTAATTTATAAAACTTAGCTAAAGAAACTTACGAGCAAACGAGTTACACTCAAGAAAAAATAGTTATAAGGCCCAACATACAAAAAGGGGATATACGTTTAAATCCAGTCGGTCTTATTACAAAAATTAGCTCAGCGTTTAAACTAATATCTGTTTCACAAAAGAAGTACCGCGGAATTATGCGAATTAAAATTTTATGTATAGAAATTAACAGCAAATATCTTCTTTAGTTAAGCCAATATTACACGGATTAATTTCGGTTCAATACTGCTTTCAATTTCATTGCTCAATGGTATTGATACATCTAAATACATTTCCAATGCGATTGCAGATTAACGAAATTCCCGCACGTACGAGTTGGCGCGACATCGCATTGCGCTGTGAACATTGAATGTAATTTAAATGATTTACGTGTATATTGGTAAAGCCGTTCAATGTGCACTGTTCAATGCTTTTCAATGGAATTGCTTCAATTTGGTTGATCCGTGTAATATCGGCTTTAGTTAATAGGTTGCGGCCTAAGGCCGTGAGCACTGTGCCAGTTAAAGCTGTAAGAGCCGTATGGGCTAACAGCGCCAACATGACAGAAAATAGATAGATTTAGTTATCAGGATTATTTACTTTTGTAATCTTAGCTCTCAAATCGTTAGACTGATTTTAATGCCTTTTCATTTCAAACCCCTTTTAATTTGGATCATTCTTAGCTTAATTGCTAAAAAAATGTTCAGTCATGTAAATATCATCAGCTAGTTTCCTGGTTGGTGTAGAGATCTCAGGCGCAAAAAATATATCTGGTCTTATTATAAATCATGGTTTGTTGATAGTTTCGCTTTAAACTATGGTTTAAGTAGAGTAATTTTCACGATGTAGTCGCTTAGCCGCATCGCCGCAATCTTCACGAAAATTGACATCCATACATTACATTTTCGTTCGCATAACTTACACGGGACTTATTTATTAAAACGGACTCTTGTTTTTTTCCACATCGCATATAGTTTTCGAAATAATAGCAAAAAAATTGAGCTTAAAGTGGTTTTAGATAATTGAACTGCTTACACAAACACCACTATTATAGATAAGGAAATATTTTACGTGACGACGTCGCGGGTAAAAAAAAGCTAATCGACAATAAGTTTGTCAGCAACAAATATATCTATGGGAAACTCCTCAATCGCATACTAGTAATATGTTTTGTTAGTTGTTGTATAACATATGATGAGATAATAGTAGGCTTTTGCAATTTATTCTTTCAATAAATGGTTATTTATGTACGATTATAAAATATTTTTTAATATTTTAAGGAATATTAGAAATGCTATTAACATTATGAGTATTCTAGTTCACCACTTCAACTAAACTTAAAATGCTTGTGTTAGGAGAGGATGACGATAGTTTAGTTGGTCGAAAAAAATCGAATCCACGAGTTTTATATTTTTGCAATCCGTAAACCTATACTATTCAGTTTTACGCTATTGGCTGTATCATAATAATACATATGTCCCAAAGTCATAAGTCAAGTTTATTTTAACTCTGCCTTATAGAAATGTAAATAAATCTATACAAATAAATAAAACTGAACTGTCTGTTTGTAATGTCAAAATAACAGCTTTTCACTAATTGCATATAAAATTATATACGGTAATAATAACAAAAAGACAATTTTTAAAACTTTTGTCTGTCTGTCTGTTTGTTCCGGCTAATCTCCGAAACGGCTGCACCGATTTCGACGGGACATTCACTGGCAGATAGCTGATGTTATAAGGAGTAACTTAAGGCTACTTTTATTTTAGAAATAGAATTAAGGTACTGCGCAAAAAAACTAAAACCCCAAATAATAAGCGGGCGAAGTCGCGAGGAACAGCTAGTAATAAGTAAACGTTGACTCTGTGGCGCCGTGGCTTTAGGATTGAGTTACGGCGTTGAGGGACGCGGGTTCGAATCCCGCATTGGACAAGTATTTGTATGGTCCACAAATGATTGTTTCGAGTCTGGATGCACGTTCTTGTAAAATGTATGTATGTAAACTGCCTCCACGATACAAGAGAAAATCCTAGTACGTACTAGGTAACGTATTTAAAAAAAATTTTAATAACTGATATGTTTGAAATACAAATTTTATAAATTATCTTCGTAAACCGCTTCTAGCAAAAATATTTTAAGCTTACTTGAAACAGCTGGTAACTGGTACCCTGTAAAAAATACGTCTTTATCTAAACTATCACGTTTCTTTGTTTCCAGTGCCTATTGCAGTGCGTTTACCGGAAAGTGAAAGCGGTAAGTATCGCTTTGTACACACTATTTTATATTTAAAAGGAAGAGTTATCGCATTTTACACAGATTAAAAAGATAATGTGACACGATTAAGTTTCAAGCTTTCAAAATTTCTATTAAATGAACCGTGTGGATTGGCATCATTATTTCTTTATTTTATAATAGTTCGTTTGTTTTCGATGAATAATCAATGCTTCAATCTGTACGTAATTATTTCGAAATATTCTATAATAATTGCCTCTTTCGCCTAACTGCACCACGGTGAAAACGTCTGAAAACCTCAGCTGATCTTCGTTAGTTTGCCGGTCACCATGGTTTGCGATTATTTATATATTTAATTTGTATAATATAAATAGTATGGGGTGATGCTGTTATCGCTCCAAAATAGCGTAAACGGACCGAAAAATATCAGCAATGGCAGCCTAAATCACATTATTAAAGATTCCGAATGTCTCTGCATATATACCTACAACAAAAGCATACAGAACAAGCAACAGCGTTTTTTTTTATTGAATAAGGGTGACAAACATTCCAGACAGACACAGTCCACCTGATGGTAAGTGGATGCTGTGGCCCATAGATATCTATATTTAATCCTAGATTAAGAATCAAAATGCAGATGCGTTGTCACCCCAGTGGACTAAGATTCCAGTAAAAAAGAGTTCACTTCACTCACAATACAAAACACAGCAGCTTTAAGCTGATATTTTACACTGGTATTCTGTGAGAGCGTGGTCCTTCCCCGGTCGAGCCAACCCATTCGTGCTACAACCATAATGTAGTTGCACCATGGCTCTACCACGTATAACTACTATTACGTATTACATAGAGCCCTGGCCGTTTCTCGAGCTGAACACCTCCGGCAGGTTAAAAGTTTTCAATGCGATGATACTCTTAGTGCAAGAGATTTTATCCCACCCTACTTCATACTGTAGGTGTCGTAAGAGGCTTCTTTGGGAAATGCTAGAAAGGGGGCGGTCAAGTATTACGTAAGCAGGCTTATTAGGGGCTGGGGGATTCAATTTTTTCTTACGTTTGCTAACAAAAGAAGCAGGGAGAATATTAAAAATTTTACGTAAAATAAAAAATAAATAATACAATAAAAATATTTTTAAAACAATATCTATAGTCTAAATTAATAACTCTTTTTATTATTTTATTATGGTAAACGCAATTCTTTTCATATTTAAATGATTATTAATTTTATAATTTTATTAAAACAGTAATTAAACAATAATACGACGGCTCCGTGGCGCATAGGCTTAACAATGAGTTGCCGCGCTGGGGGCCGCGGGTTCGAATCCCGCACGGAACAAATATTTGTATGGAATACAAATAATTGTTCCGGCTCTGGATGTTTATCTTTGTGCAATTTGTGTTTGTAAACTGCCTCCACGATACAGGAGAAAATATTAGTGAGGGGTAACGTTTTTAAAAAGAATAATAAAAAAAATACTTTAATTTCAAAAATATATGAGTTATTCAAATTTTAACTTTAATATTTGTTAAAAGTTTTAAAAACTTTTTAACGTTTCATCATTTGGGGAGGAGGGAGTCCCGCAATTTTATTATTTTTTGTTTATATAAGGGGGGGGGGGTCCTTGAACCTCCCCAAAGGTTCTATGACCTCCGATAGATGACTGCATAACCATCTTGTTTACGACAATACCTACACTGACTTGAAATGCCCAGACCGACCACGGGTGGCCACTGGTATTGCGATTGTCAATCTGTCCGAGGAGGCGATTACGTCACATCCTCCCTACAACAGGAGAGATCTTTAATAAACAGCAGTAGTATTTTAATAGCTAGTGTAGAAGATTATCGATAGTAACAAGTTGTGTAATATGCGTGTGTTTCTTTTTATTTATTAGTTTTTCTTTTTCTTCTTTCTTAGCCATTAAAGTAATTGACATTTTATTATCCCGTTGTAGGAAAGGGTTTTCCTTAATCGACACGCTTGGCAGGAGTTAGGAACTATGTTGCAAATTATTGCACTATTCAATTTCCACGATCTTTGAACGTCTCATGGCTGGTCTGCTCGGGTGTACTATACACTTGTGAGCTTCAAATATTATGTATTGGTATTAAGCATTAGTTAACTTCTATTACTCGTATGTCTAAGCGTAAAAATAACATTTATCGTATAGAAGTATACAAATAGTTGTGGTTTGCGGTTTCGAGCTCAATTTAAATATGCTAAGGTCTATATACAAGGTTACGTAACAATCAGACGAATAACCGAAGAAGTATAATAAACAGGAGTTATAAGGTACTATCACCGTTACAGCCTATTAAAGTCCACTGCTGAACATAGTCCTCCCCCATAGATTGCCACATAGAGGGGGATATTTGCCATATTTTCCACGCTTGGCTAGCGGGTTTGCAACCGCAGTTTTATTTTTATTTTTGAGCTGTTATTAGGGAAACGCTGCTGCCCATCTCCTTATTTATTTCCCCCTGTCGCCTCTCACAACACCCATGGAACGATATGGGGTAGTGGATATTCTTACACCGCCGCCACTACACGGTAATTAATAAGGTACAGGTAGTACAAAGATAAAACGTGGATGTCTGACCTCCAAATGTAATTTTATAGCATTATTTTAACTTAAATAAATTCGGACTTTAAGGAATGAATTATATAATTAAACAGTTGAAAAAAAAAAACCTTGATATTTTTTATTAAAGGGTATTATCCCGATCAACATGTTCGAGGTCAGCTGTTCTCGCTTGTAAAATTAAAATAATTAAAAAGAAATCGAGTTTTAATGCTTTATGGTTCTGTCACAAGTTGATTGCTCCAATTTGTTAACTATAAAACATGCGCACCAAGTCGTAAACTTGAAAAAGAAATTCGTCGTCTATTCGAAACGATCGAAAATAAGCCTGGAACATAAATAAAACTGTCATAAAAGGACTCCGTGGAAGGCGGTGTTATTAATTCTTATATTGAAATAGTGCATGCTTCAAGGTTAAAGTGATCAAGCGCTGAATCCTCCAACCTTCCATTTTAATAATGGCGCACTAAAAACGTTTGCAGTGACTTTTGAAGCCGATGTAGATTTATTATAAATGTCAGCCTGGGGTTGACTAATTTCTTTTTTTGTTTTTTAATTTATATATCAGTTTTAAATTGATTAATATGACTTATGTCTTAAGTATTATTTAGATGGATTGCCTTAGCAATAGAGTAATTTTACAAGGTCGGTTAGCGATGCCTTCGTTTTATTTTGTTTGTGTTTGTGTTTAAAGCAATACTTAACTGTTATTTTTTAATATACGGAAATGCATATTTCAGGTGGACGGCTATGGATTCCCAACGCTGGAGGGTCTCGTGGGACTGTACTCGGAGGGCGTTAACGAACGCGGTTACTTTATGGCAGTACTCGAGGCGTCGCGCGAATGTCTCATGAGGAACCATGATAAGTTCTCCAGGACCGTGCCAATGGGTTTGTTCTAATATTTTTTTTGGCATTTCTTTTTATTTCGGTTACAATTGAGATTTCGAGAAGTTAAATATTTTGGCGTAAAGTAAATGAAACTTTTGTGTCCTTTTAGTCACACTTGTTTCAAAGATTTTATTAGACATTGTGTTAAATAAGTTACACCTATGTCTCCTATGTTTCATTTATTAAGCCAAGTACTTTGTTTTAATCGAAAACATTTTGAGCACGGCATTTTTGCATCTATCTACCAAGCTTCTTTGTATCTTTTTACGTGGTAGAGTCATGCTCGACCGCGCTCTCACAGAATACCTTTGTAAAATAGCAGCTTAATGCTGCTGTGTTTTGTATGGTGAGTGTAGAGAACCAAAGGCCCTTTTTACTGGAAATGAGGCATTCTATCTTAGTCCTCAGGGGTGAGAAGGCATCTGCATTTTGATTCTTAATCGAGGATAAATGGAGTTGTCTATGGACTACAGCGTCCACTTACCATCAGGTGGGCTTATTCTATAACGATGTACTTGTCTGTCACGCTTATTTTATAACGAAAAAAAAGAAAAGCTATACATAGATCCAGAAATAAATTACTGACACTTGGCGATCTGTTCTCTCTGGCTACCCCGTCAGGGATTGTGCGTTAAGATAAGAAGAAGGAGAAATAAATTACAACCTTTAAAATGCTCTAAAGGGCGAAACTGGTCCAGTTATATATCTTTTTACTACAGCCTAGCAAGAGTTCACTGCTGAACATAGATTATCCCATAGCGGGAATATTTACCATAGTTGCCATGCATAGCAGCCGGATTGTCTTTTATTATTTTTATTCGACAGAAATTAATATTTAAAATATGTTGATTTATACATGACTTGTGGATTTACATCTAAATGTAATAGGACAATCGAATTCATTCAACCAAAAGAAAAATCGCATGTGTAAGCCAAGAGTTACTGGATAACTCACACCATACAAATATATTTCCTCTACAGTGTTTATTCAAAAAACAATCTTAAATTAATATTTTCACTCAGACCTTTTCTTCTATCTCACTCGAATTTTAATCAAGCATTTTGATATAGGTTGATGATGGATTCTCTTACTTTAAATGTTGCGCTATTAACTACTTGTAATACATTTTCAGATAACGGTCGCAATTGCGACGTCTCTTTCGACATTTTCGAGTGCATATCGGACCGCATCGGCGAGTACTGCGGCAATTCTGTACTCTGAGATTAGAAGAACCGAGTTCAAGAAGAATAGAAATCAGGCAGCTGTATTTTAAATGTCTTCCTTGTTCCATTTCACTCTAATAACCGTTAACTAAAATGTTGCAATGTTTAACATTGATGTTTTGACATTGTTACTTTATCACGTAACTTCTTTTCTTTTAATTTCTTGTAATTTCTTTGGTATATCTTTTTTTCTTATTTTTCGTTTTCCCGATTTCTAATTCAAGTATCAAAGTAGAATACGTGAGGGTAATATGGTCATGCGGTTGATATGGTCACTTTCTTATAACTCAATAACTACAGCCTAATTTGCATAGATGGTTTTCTGATAGCGATAGCTCTTCATCAGTCATTCAAATAATAAAGGGTCAAAAGGCCGCTACTTTATCGACGCCATTTTGGCAGTTAATATTATAGTAAGTACGTGAGAGTAATATGGTCACCTTAAGCTTTATCGCCCTATAAAACTAAAATTAGGAGGAGAACAGAGACAAAAACACAAAGTCGTATACTATAACTATTATATTAAGAAAAAAATAGCAAACAAGGTTTGGAAATAATTAGGAACACTTCGAAAAGTCTACTTAAGAAAACTAACTACACTACACAATACAAAAATCGACTAAAATATTTACAATAATATCAACTGTCAAAATGGCGTCGATAAAGGAGCGCCTTTTTTGACCCTTTATTATTTGATAGACTGATCAAGAGGTACCGTATCACAGATCGTTCTATGCGAACGACGCTGTAGTTTTTGAGTTATAAGAAAGTGACCATATTAACCGGATGACTATATTACCCTCACGTACTATAGTTAGTTTTTCTTTAAGTTGATTTTTCGAAGTGTTGCTAATTATTGCCAAGACTTGTTTGTTATTTTTTTCTATATAAGTTATAGTATACGAAATTGTGTATTTGTCTCTGTCCTCCTCCTAGTTATGGTTTTATAAGGCGGCAAAGCTTAAGGTGACCATATTACCCTCACGTACCTTATTATTAGTCTTTGAGTAACAAAAATTATCAACAACAACAAGGTTCGATTAGACACTTTTAAAGATTTTGTAATCTTTGTTTTAGAATAATTGTTTGAAATTCCATGTTACTTTCTGACATAGAGTTGAAATAGTTTTAAGTCTATCATTATTCTAGTGACTTCTTACTTATGACTAATGTCTGGTATATTTATGTAACGTATATACACGTTTTCCCTTACAGTCTGTTTTGCAGTGCATAAATTGCATGAAAAATATTTATATCAAAATCCTGCTTTAACAAATTACGATGGCTTAAATTAAAAATTTAACAATTTTTAGAACTAACAGCTCATATTAAATATGTTATTTTTTAATTTAGGAATCCGGAGGTTAGTACAAGATAAATAAAGTATTTGAATTCGTAACCTACCTAACTACTAAGTACTATATTTCTTCAGTTTTAGTTACCATAGTAATATTAACAAATTTTATTCTACCACAAATATTTTCGCGGTGGATTTTTTAGTTTTATACATAGCTATATTTAGTGATTATTAAATTGTGATGCAACTGTATTAGTAAGGCTAATAACATAATCTCCCAATCCTTCAAAAAAAGATGTGATATAAATTGAAAGGCTAATAATTTTCTAATAGTTACCATGTTCTAAATGTATTTTAAGCAAAAATAGTACGTCTATCATAAACTTTGACATACGTTTTTTTTTAATAACAATAATATCGTTTATTCGCTTATACATGGTACATTAGAGGTGACAAATATTTGCATGTTGTACATAGTCTACATGTTTACCACATCTGGCATGCGAAAATTAATAATTAAACAAAACAATTAATTATGTACAAAGATTAAATGAAACCAAACAAATATATATAAAAAAAAATTACTATCATTGTTTCTATCAAAGCAATTAATTATGTATTATTCAATTAAATCAAATAAAATTAAAAGTACAATCGTACTACCTAATATCTGTAACAGAATCTAGTTTTTAGTCGCTCATATCGTAATAGTCAAAATGTAATAATTTCATATGTTTACGCGAGTGTTGATTTATAAGGATCTTATCGGATGTCGGGAATATGGGAATATTAAAATATAAAAATTAATTAATTAAACGCGATACTTTCGCAGGCATTAGTTTCTTTCGCCTAAGCATTAGCGACACGCCCAGAGTTGAATGGACGTGAGTTTAATGTAGTGTAGGTATTACTGTAGAGTATACCTAACTCTATGACAATGATAGCGAACTTTTTTTACGAAAAGGTAAATTTATTAATTTTTTTAATACTAGCTCTAAAACGTTTACGTTTGCTTTTTCTTTAACGACTTTTTTATAAATTCGATATTTTAGATAAATAAACATTTTTTTAATATTTTATTGTTATGAATAAGTTTATAAAAATGAACGTGTAGTTCACTTAAAAGAAGCCTGCGTAAGTCCGTGTCTGACTTGCGGGTCATAAGTTCGCCATCACTGTTTTATGATGATGTTTATCTTTTTAGGGCTTTATTACAAATCCTTGGAATTTTTCTATTATCATTACATAAATATTAATATTTTAACACATACTAAAATCATCTTCGTAAATGTTTTATATGATAGTAAAAACCGTATTAAAATCCATCAAACAGTTTGATTTTATTATACAGACTCACACACATATAAGCGACTTCGTTTTATTTTGTTTATAGTGACTAGTTATAAGTTCTCTGTTAGAGGAATACTTTAAATATTCAGAGCTTTATAACGAACTGATAGATTAATATAGATTTAAGCAAATGTTAATAAAACTTGTAAATAAACTAAACTGTTTTGTTTTATTTTTTACCAACTTCGTGGTTTAATTGAATATCGCAATAATCATCAAAAATAAATAGATGAGTCAAATTATGTGACATAGATATGGTTACCTTGTAGATAGTTCCAGAACTGGAACTGCTTCTTACTGAAAGAGTTTATTACAGAATCCTGGAACAGACCATTCCCAAAGCACTTGCGCCCAGCAGTAGACCATTTATGGGCTGGTATGAAATACTGATAATGGACTTAGGGGAAAAAAATTAACAATATTTAATAATTAGAATTAATGATTGGAGTCTAATCATAAATAAGTAGGTGCAAATATTTCTTACATTGAAAATAACAGATTGTTCACTTTATACTAAGAAATTTTAAACTTAATTTATATTTCGAATTTTCATCGAGGAAGTCACAAGAAGGCTTAGGTATCATTACAGCAGCTGTTTCTTAAAACAATCAAAAGTAGGGGCGTTTTGGGTGCACTCTGAAATGAGGGATACCAGTGGTATTTAAGTTGTAAGTTTTAACTAGAACACCAACGTGTAATATAATATAGTGCTGCTGTTAGCCGTGTGGTAAGCGACGACCGAAGACCTTTCTTACTGTTTAAAAGGAATTCCATCTTAGTCCTCAGCATTTTAATTGTTATTCAAGGCTATCCTCGTACCTGTGTCGGTGGTAAGTGACCAGAACTGAAGACTTGTTTTCAGTCTTCAGGACTGACAACGCATCTACAATTTGATTCTTAATCGAGGCTATTCTAGTAGCTATTCATTCACTTGTCAACAAGTGGACTGTATACTCGTTTGTAACTATTATATCTAGTAAAAAAAATTACAGCTAATATATAAATAAATTATATTTAATATAGCTGTACCCCGTAATTTCGTCTGCGTGGAATTAATTACGATTTAATTTGTTGGGTTTTAACTATTTTGCGTGGAGCCTTAAATAATTAAGTTGCTTAAGTTACTCTTTATAACATCAGCTATTGGCCACTGAAAGTCCCGTCAAAACCGATCCAGCCATTTCGGAGATTAGCCGGAAAAAACAGACAGACAGACAAAAATTTAAAATTGTTATAAGTAGAACCTGGATATATATGTAGTTATTTGTTTTGGAAAATATGCAGTACGCTTTTCGATTGTTGCTAATAACGCTCCCAAGCATAACCTCAAAATCATATAACAAACGTTAAAAATAACAAAATATGTAAATATGATATGGGTATTAAAATCAGATTTGCTTTTTACACTCTAAGCGCTTCTAATCTAATATAGGACATTAACCGTTCCAAGACTGCGCCCGCGGGCAAGCATAATTTATTCAGAGGAGGAGGAGGATGAGGGGGAGGGGTGAGGAGAAGCAGTAGAGAGGTAGAGGGAGAAGAAAGAGGAGGAGGATATTCTTAGCGAGTGTGGTCATTCTCCCAGTTGAGATAACCCATTTGAACTAAAGTCACATAATACCACTGCATCGTAGCTCTACCATGAAAAAAGTTCTTACTGTTTCTTTTAATATTATGGATAGTTCTTTTGTTATGGAATGGCTTTGTGATAAATATAAATTTAGGATAGACCATAATAATGGAAATGAGGATCTTAGACGGTAATGTAAAACCAAATAGTAAATGAAAACATTCAGATCGAGTTTATAGACAGTATAACTCAAGTTTATATTTTTAACGCCTGCAGCAAAAATGAGAACAATTTTCTCGAGTACTATTCATTGCTACAAATGTTCCTCGCAAGGGACTCTTATTTTCATATTGGATGAAGGTAGATATTGTGTGCAGTGTAATAAATATTATGTTCCTATGAATTTATGGATAACGTTATAAAGCAAAAAATATCTATATTTTTGTATAATAATAGATGGTGCTGAGCCGTGGTAGCTCAGATGCGTTCGCTGTAAGTTTCACAGTACGCGAGCAACCCGGGTTCAATCCCCGCCGGCACCAATGAAATTGTTAATTGCAATTTTAAGTGCTGATTTACCACGTGCTCGGCGGTGAAGGAAAACATCGTGAGGAAACCTGCATGTCTGAGAAATGAGAAAAAAAATATTTCGAAGACGTGAATTTCGCCAACACGCATTGGAGGACATTTCATTGCCCTAAAAACCCTCTCAGAAATGAGAGGAGGCCTGTGCCCAGCAGTGGGACGTATATAGGCTGTAACTTTAAGTTTTAACTTTAAT